GCATTCCCGAAGTACGAGCATATGACGACCAATGTCGCACGCTTCCAGCACCAGGTATGTCTCGCGCTACACTCACAACCTCGTTCCCCAACTCATATATGCCACTAGCACCCACACGCACAACCTCGTTCCCCAACTCACAGATGCCACTAGCACCCAAGGACCGCCCTGCGCTTCACCCAGCTTACAGCAGCGCACCTCGGCTATGGCTGCGTGCTCCTTCCCTGCTCGCCCGTGAGAGCGTAGGCGCCAGCCAGCAAATAGCGCAGCATGCAGCCAGCACCCGAATGTCGAATGAGGAGGCAGGGCCTTCCCTATATCGAAGTGGCCTGCCTGCTTCCAGTCCCAGGAAGCTTCAAGTAGGCCCCGGTAGCCTGAGGCCCAGCATGTCGAACGCAGGCCTTGGGCCTGAGTTGGTTGTCTGTGCCCAACTGCCTTTGGCCAGTGTTTGGCCCGGTACCCGTATTCAGCCCAGGGCCTGCTTCACATTCATTCACACAGGCGGCCCAGGGCCTGGGTTCACACAACCAACTGGCGCTGCGCAACTGCCTGAATTTCCCTGAGTTGCGTGGTGCCCAGAAAAGGGCCTTGAGGGCCTCGTCGAGCCTGCCTTCACTTAGGGCGGCCGACGGGCTGCAAAATTGGGGCCTTATGAGGCTCTTAGAGGCAGTGTCCTCGCATTCCCTCCTCCTTAACTTCAACAGTCCTCTGAGAAGCTCAATCTTCGATCATAGGGCGCTTTCCCTTCTGCAGAGATCTCTCATATTGAGTTACAACTTGAGCGGTCTACATGAGCTCTTCCCTGGTGAACCAGCGGTCCTCCTTCGGATCAGTGTGATGCCGGAACCGAATGTGGTACTGCAGCTTCGGTTTTGGAGGACGTCCCCTGCCTGCTGGTCTTGATACCGGCAACTCTTTGTGATCCACAATATCATCAATGTCCACCTCTCCGTCCATGGTTGGGGGCAGCATTGAGCGACGAGATGGAAACTGGTCAGTCTCTTTGAAAGGTGCCAGCTTGGAGGCGTGAAAAACAGGGTAAGTATGGAGATGACCAGGAATCCGGATAACGTAAGATGGCCCATCCGGATCTGTTCCAACGATGTCCAAGACTTCCCAAGGTCCAAAGTATTGAGGCATGAGTTTGCGGGAGATCCCGTACTTCGTCCCAGTTCTGAAGACTTAACCCAGACCCTATCCCCAACCTGAAATGTAGAAGGCCGGCGGTGTCGGTTTTCGGACTCTACCATCGCTGCCTGTGCCTTCAGCATCTGTTCTACTGCCTGCTGCATTTTCTGTTCATATTTGTAGGCAAACTCTAAAGTACCCGGTGCAGCAGTTGATTCATTCTTAGGAAGGAGAAAGTCAAGGGGTAGTCTCGGCTTGAAAGTCAGTAGTAAACTGTTCGGGCTCACCGCAGTGGCACTATGTACCGCATTGTTATACAGACTGGCGATGAGAGCAAGCTTCTCATCCCAGTCCACCTGGTTGGGCTTGATGTAATGCCTCAACAGGTGTTGTACAATGTGGTTCAGTTGCTCGGCCTGGCCGTTGGCCTCTGGGTGATTCCCAGAAGTCATTTGCAACTGAGTGCTCTGCTCTGCAGCAGCGGCCTTCCACAACTCGCTGGTAAACCTGACATCCCTGTCACTGACAATAGACTTGGGTAAACCAAAGTCTCTAACCCAGTTTTCTTTGAACATTCGGATCACGTACTCTGTCTTTGCTGTTTCCGGCATGGCTACTAACCTAGCATACTTACTAAATCTATCCACGATGACGAAGATGTGACACATCCCACTCTTGCTGGTGATCGGAGTATCCATGAAATCCATGGACAGACTCTTACCAGGCCGTTCCGGAATTGGAAGGGGCTTCAAAAGCCCAAGAGGAGCCTGAGTACATGGCTTGTCTCGTTGACACACTTGACAAGTCTCCACATACAATTGAGCATCTCGCATTATCGTGGGCCACCAGAACCGTTGCAGCAGGTTGGCTGAGGTCTTCTTATACCCAAAATGGTCGGTGGCATCATGGCACTCTCCTAAAAATAAACTACGCAAAGACTCTCTATTTGGGACGCACAACCGTTTATTCCCGACCTTCTCAAGAAACAATAAACCGTTGACCAACTCAAACTCGGCGGAGGTCTTTTTGTCCTTCGCCTCGAGTCTGCGTATGATTTCTGACATGAACTGATCCTTGCGATAGGCATCCACCAAAGAGCGAGTTACATCGTCCGTGAGGTCGAACTCGGTAATCAGCGCACCTGAAAAGTCAGGTCTACGCAACAAGGCATCAGCCACCTTGTTGTACTCCCCTTTGAGATACTGGGGGTCGAAGTCATACTGCTCAATGACTTCGATCCAATGCTTCAGAGCGTCAGAAAGTACGGGCTGAGTTCTCATCCATCTCAGGGTCTGATGATCAGTCCTGAGGATGAAGAATCTCCCAAGGAGATAGTGTCTCCAATGGGTCAGAGCCTTGTACACGGCGTAGAGTTCCTTCTCATAGGTGGACTTGGCCAACTTCTGAGACGACATTTTTTTTGACATGTACTCGACTGGCCTCAACTTTGGCCTCGAGCACGGCGCTAATGCCATATTGGCTGGCATCCGTGGTGACTATGAACGACTTGTCAGGATCAGGAAGTTCCAAGGCCTCGTAGTGCATCAACACATGCTTCAGATGTTTGAAAGCAGCCTCGCACTCGTCTGTCCACTCCCATGGGGTGTCAAGGCGGGTCAAATCAGTCAAAGGAGCGGCCACTATGCTATAATTCTTAACGAAAGTCCTATAGTAGTCTGTCATTCCTAAGAAAGATCTCATCTCAGTCCCAGACTGAGGACGTGGCCAATCACGAATGCTGGCCACCTTCGCGTCATCGGGCTTCAACCCTTCCGCGGAGATCTCATGACCTAAGTAGAAGACACCGGTGCAGCCAAACTCGCACTTCTCATCGTTGATCTTGAACTTGTGTTGTCGCAGGAGACTGAGGACTTTGTCCAAATGTGCAACGTGCTCCTCGACAGTCTTACTAAAAATAAGTATGTCATCGAGGTACACGATGACAAACTTATCCAAGTAGTCATGGAATATCCGATTCATAGCGTGCTGAAAGGTGCCAGGAGCATTACAAAGGCCGAAAGGCATCACCACAAACTCGTACAGACCGTACTTGGTCTCAAAGGCGGTTTTGTGTTGATCCTCGGGCCGGATTGCAATCTGATGGTATCCAGACTTCAAATCTATCTTACTGAAGTACCGATACCCTTGCACTCTATCTAACAGATCATCGATGCGCGGTAGGGGCTCTCGGTTCTTTACAGTGATGGCATTGAGGCCGCTATAGTCAATGCACATCCTAAGTGTACCCTCCTTCTTCTTAGGTACGAATAGTACTGGAGACCCATAAGGAGAGACACTCGGCCGGATCCAACCCTTCTCTACGAGTTCCTTGAGTTGGCGGCGGAGCTCATCGTAGGCGGGATCTTTTCCGTCACCTTCTTATTGCGGCACTTGAATTGGTTGTGGCCATATTGACCACAACAAATACAGGCCTGCCGTGAGTAACGGTCTCTCCACACGTCCTCTGTAAGACCCGCTTTCTCCCATGGAGGAGCATTGGGGTCAACTTGACTCCTAGATCGGGAGCCTCCGCGGCGTCTACCGGTCGCCTTACCTTTTTGAGCAACGACAGCGACTACTCCACCCTCTGAAGCTTCTACGTTGCCCGCCTCTGAACCTACTCCCTCCTGGAAGTTGCCGTCCAACTCGATGGTTGAACCATCATTGTCGACAAACATGATGCGACCTTTCGCCTTCCAGTTGGGAGGCAGTGTCTTCTTTCTCCCATCCGTAGTGGGTGCCTGTCCATGCCCTATCTTAGCTTCAAGGTCTAGGGCCACCTTGCTGAACGAAGGAAAGTTGTGCATATTGATATTGGCCTCTTTTGCCAACTGGTTCCTGAGAGGCTGAGAAAAGCATCTCAAGTACGAAGTCAGCAGGATCTGGGGGTCATAGCGCACCCCTGGGACACAGATCAGACGCTCAACAACGTCGGTGGCTTCCCTTACTGACTCAAACTGCCGCGTGTGCAATGTTAGGATCGCATCAGTGGCCCTTTGGGCCTCGTGAGGATCATGCCACCTTTCTTCCACCATCTTCAGGAAGTCCTCCAATTTTTGGGAGGCCGCCCAAGCGCGGAAGTCATGACCATACCCCTGGAGTTGTACCAAACCACTCAACCATCTTGCTGCACTACCCTCTAGGTAGGAAGCAGCCACAAGCACTTCTTCGTGCGGCAAGGTGAGTTTACACTTGACGTAGACCGGCACTGCCCTCAACCACGTGTCAAGGTCTTCGCCCCTCTTATCTCTTGTAAAAGGTTTGGGAGCGGTGATGGCCGTCTTTGGAACCCACTGAGTTTGTCCCGGTCCCTGCATTACTCCGGGCTGTGGACCCGGTGACACAGGTTGCTGTGCTAGCTGCTGGGGCTGCGTGCCCTGAGGCTGCACATGCTGCGAGACAGCAGGCTGCGTGGTGACTGCAACCTGCGACGGACTTTGAGTGAACACTGTCTGGACAGGAACCTGCAAACTACTCCCTGCTGTTACCCCTCCTGACAGCGGCATGCCCAGGGAAACGATAGCAACCGATGACGGGGCTACGTATGGGGATACCCCTGTCACCGGTGGGACAAAAAAAGGAGGATATGGCACGGGCCAGGCACCAGGCCCGGCTGGTGATGGTGCTGCTTGAGCGCGATCTGCCAAAACGGCTAGGCTCTGTTGAATGTCCTGAAGGATGGTAGTTTGATGCTCCTGAATCTCTATTACGCCTAGCAGGGCCCTCCTAACTACCTTCACATCATCATCCATATGCATCAGGTCCATCGTCTCTAACTCCTCTATATCTACCCCTCTCCGCTGCATCATGGCTCTTCTTCGGATCATCTTTTCCTTTTCCGCTTTTATCTCTCCTAATGCCCGTTGTAGCTGTGCCTCCTGCAGGGCTGCCTGTTGGATGGCAACATCCTCTGGAGTCAACACAGCGGCCTGGCTTGTCATAACGCCAGTGGACTGACTCACGGTTTGCGCGACGTTGACCCGACGACACCTGAACTACTGGCTTGGGAAGTCTGCTGCGCAGAAGTGACCATGGTTGTAGTGGCCATGACTGCTGTAGCACCGGCCTCGCTAACTAAAGTTATGCTGGCCTCGGCTGCTCTAGCCCTCCTCTGCTGCTGCTGCCTCTCCCTAAGCCGGCGGAACAGAATCCTATCACCCTCCGGTCCTAAGGACACGTGGGCTATCGGGCGCCTACCTGATCGCAAGATCCTCCGGTCGTCCTCTCCGATGTCCTCCTCGTCGCTCATAGGCTACAGCACTGTGCACTGTCTACACTAGATCATTCAAGATGCCTACCGCAGCATAGTGCACAAACCAACTAATTAGTTGGTGGCTATTTCGGAACAGATATCACTTGAGGTCAACAGGTAAGTCAGATTCCAACAACTGAAACTATTTTTAGTCTGACTAGTACGCAAACAGAAGCACCAGGAACAATAAACAGTTCTAACTAATGCTGTCTGTCAGATGTCAATGGCAGTACATCTACCTAATCAAAAACTTAAAAATAGAATCACTTGTGTGGATAGGACAGCATGGAATTTTCTCGAACTTATCATCTGGAATCAACCCCTCCCTTAGTTCCCCTGAGTATCTCTTGACGTCAGCATCCCTGAGCGATCTGGAGAGCGTCGCGTGTCTAAAGGTGTGTGTGTCCGGCCCACCCCTATGCCCCGAGTACCCACTGAGCTGGCCAGCCTTGCACGTATATTTATCCTCGACGTGCCGCGAGCCTTACATCACTGGCTGATCCAGAGGCATTTCAACGTCCCCCCCCAAGTGACATCATGAATTATTTAACGTCGCAGTAGGACGACGATCACAGCCAGTGATATCCCCTTCCCGTGTTTATTTATAGACGTCGGGAGCTCGTCTTTCCTGTAGGGCTGGCCTGCCCAGTAGTACCCATCTAACAGCGCAGCAAGCCGAACAAAGGACAAGCAGCAATGCATGCGTGCTCTACTCCCTGTGGGTTGGCATGGTGACAGTGACCCAGTGCTTCGTCCAGGCTTCAGAAAGCTCCGCACATCTCCACCCGGATGCTCCACGTGAACATTGCGACTCTCAAGGTTGAGCGCAATCGACACCTCACGATGAGAGGACTCTCAAGAAGGAACACACAACCTCACGGTAAGAAGTGTCGAAGAGGGTAGATAAGGTTAAGAGCAACGTACCTCAAATAGCTGCCCCCAACCACAGAGATAATCTCACCAGATGACCAAATGGCGATTGCGATGACCAGTCACTGCATCGGCACAACCAGCATTATCTCGCCGTTCCACCTCAGCATCAATCACATATTAGATAGTTCTCATCACACTGTCCAGACCACATTAACACCACGTAGCCTTCCTGGCGATCCCCTCACCTCCTGGGTCGCCTACAACACTCGCCTCCGCCCTCCTCACTACACACCACTTACGGCCAAACTCKCCCAGCAGACCGCATGTATGTACCGTATAAGGCAGAAGACAAGCACCAGATGAGCGCAATCGTACCACAGCTCTGATACCAAATTGCAAGGAAGATGAGCA